AAGAACATCGTTATGGGTAGTTGTTGGCCTCTTTCTTTTTCTGAGCAAGAAGATTTTTATAAACGGACATCCCACCTTCAATTATATTTGAGAACTGCAATGAACGACACATCAAAGGGTCCCATTCTTGTGCTAAGCGACCAAGTGTTAGTCCTTCCTCCTCTTCTTTATCAACAAGTGTGTCTTCTTCTTCCTCTTCTCCGTCATCCTCGCTTGGTGGCTTTGTCATCTCTGCCAGGTCTTCGTCCGTCAGTGGTTGTGCGTGTGCATCAATCAGGTCATTGACTTCATCAGCAGTCATGTCATTAAAGCCGTCTCCTCCGAGCTGTTTTGCTAGATTATTATAAACCAATATAAACCTTTTTCACTTCTAGACAACAGTAACGCCCCTAAGCCAATCAGGATTCACTGTAAAAAATAAAGCACTGTAAAAAATTCCGCGAAGCAGCGAGGCCGCGATAGGTGAAGCGTGATATAGCGAGGGATCACTGTAGTCTTAAAATAATAAAACCAGTAAAATAAAATATGAGCAAAATCATAGAATAAAACCAATAAAATACATAAAAAATGAATAAAATAAATAAATAAAAAAAAAAAAAAAAACGTGTTAAAAGCCAGAGAATAAAAATGGGTCTTAAGACGAGATTTAAAACGCTCCACTGTGGGGTTGTTGGGGCGTGGCGGGGCAGAGAGTTCCAGAGTTTGGGGCCGACCACAGAGAAGGTCCAGTCCTCCTGGTTTTAAGTCTCGTTTTAGGCCCCACGAGCTGGAGCCGGACCTCGGACCTCAGAACGCACACGGGGTTGTAAATCTGGATGAGGTCCGAGACGTTCTGTGTTGCCAGTTCATTCAAAGCTTTAAAAACAAACAATAAAATCTTAAAATCAATTCTAAAATTAACAGGAAGCCAGTGCAAAGACGCAAAGATCGGGGTCATGTGCTCTCTACTTTTTGTTCCTGTTAGAAGTCGCGCCGCAGAGATTTTGAACCAATAAAAGTCGATAAAGTGCGTTTTGTGAAATGCCAGAATAAAACGCGTTACAGTCGTCCAGGCGTGATGAGATAAAAGCGTGCACGACTTTAGATAAAAGCCGCAAATGATAAAAACTTGATTTTAAAAACGCCATTGATCTGCTTGTCAAACTTAAATAAGCCACTTTATGTTTTTCCGTGTTCAGTTGTGTAGTTCCAACAAAGAAAAGTGGATTTATTTTGACTTTAAGAGCTGCTGGATGATGGAGATGTTATTGTTTTTTTTTTTGTCTGGAATGTTTCCCAGTGCGGCATTAAACCTTTCTGTCGTCACGGAAACCAAACTGGACCAAGTTACAGGTCAGATCTGTGGACAAAAAAGCCAGAACGCCCATTTTTCTTGGCATTTCTGAGCTATAAAAGTAAAAAAAAAAAAAAGCTTAAAATAAAGTAAAATAGAGCCGTTTAATGTCACACTGTGGGACATTCCAGGCACAGAAACGGCGTATCCATAGAAACAAAAACGTGACGGGAAAGTTACGCAATGCAGCTTTAACTTAGACAATGTTAAGTACCAAAAAAGTGGTTTAAAGGGAATTAATGTCACAAAAATGCATAATATGTGTCCTCGTCAAAGCCCGTTTCCGAGCTTTTCCGAAGTGCCTTTTTTCCGCAGCCAAACCCAAACCCTGACCTCCCCAGTTTGACAACATATTTCTTTGGATTAGAGATGCGGGTTTGATGCTGTTTGCACACGGTGATCAAACTTTATACTTTAGTTATGTCAAATTTCAACTCATTGACATGAATCTGTGTAATTCATTTCAACATTTGGACGCCGTATTTTGCTCAAACAGGGCCCCGACTAAAGGGAGCACATATCGACAGGCCAATTTATCCATCGAATAATGCTCGTCAAATACGTGATACATGAAGATGTGAACGGTTGTGATAGTAAAATAATAGAAAAATTGATAGTAAAATAAAGAATTATCTAAGTAAATCTGTGATGAGCTCCACTTGGGACTGATTAAAATGAGCCCTACATCAGAGAGTGCTCAATACGTCGATCCTGATCTACCAGTCGATCACCAAGGTCGTGTGGGTAGATCGCCGTGTCTCGTCTCAGACTCGCGTTTGGACTCGGTCTTGTCTCTCACTCGAGGTCTGACACTCAACAAGTGTGATCATATTTCATTCCGGCCGCTGCTGTTGGTAATAAACTTGTAGCGGGTGCAGGAGCGTGTGGGGCGTCTCAGTGCAGCCTGTGCGCTCATTTGAAACCCGCGGAGACTCTACGGCGCATCACAAACACACACGCTCCCTATGCACGGCTCGTCTGCGACAGCGTGTGCCCTCGTGTACCAGCGTGCATCACAGGGCAGGTTCAACTTCCTAAACATCCTACCTGTCCACCTGCCTCACGTCAGCACGCCGCCCCTCGCCTTTTCACGCTCTCGCTCCTTCCTGCGTACAGCCAACACAAGCCCCTCCCACAGTGCGGCTGATTAGAAGAGCAAGACCAAACGTGAAGCAAAAACCAGTCTAAATTTGTGTTCCAGTGTTGGCACAAAGCAGGTCTACAGCATAGAGCGGATCTACAGAACAGACCTACTGCCACATTTGGCTGAAGTTTGTCTAACAAAAGTGACAAATGCATCTGTGTTTGTCACGATGTGCGTTTGGTTTGGTAAACGTGCAGAGGCTGGTAAATATCACTGCAAAACCACAAAAAGAATGAAACTCCAGTTTGGAACTTTTAAAAAACAGGTTTAAAAATCTTCCTTCACTTTTTCCACAGTTTTGTGTAAAGTGTCAGAGGAAGTTCTCTTAAAGAAGAGGTTCTCAAACTGTGGGGGAGGGTCCAAAAAAGGGGCACAGAGTGTTTCAGTGCAGTTTGCTTGGCTTTGTATTAGGTAGAGCTTTATAACTTGGTCATTTTGTAAGTAGCTCGCATGATGAAAAAGTGTGAACACCCCTGATCTACACGACCCGCCTCAGCGCTTCCGATTCGACACACGACGTATCCATGGGTCACGTGATTTTCTTGAAGCGATACAAAGAGAGACACAGAGAGACACAGGCGGCACTTGCAGAGCTCGACGTGACGACGCAGAGATTTGTTTGGCCCATCTCTCCCTCGTAAATGTCGATATCAGGCGTTGACAGATACTTCGAGACAAAATATCAAACGGTGCGTCGTCAAATGTGAAACCTGCCCCGTCTCCCTCACAGATGTGTTTTAACTGACACCAAATCTAGATACTAATAAAAATCCAACTCAGTTCACAGTTTGAAAATCAGGTACCCAAGATTTTAGTCGTCCTCCAGCGGCGTGTTTAAGTGTGTTTGTGTTTGTGTCGTGTGCAGGCTGCTGGAGGAGGGGAACACAGAGGGCGCCGAAGAGCAGAAGCAGAGGATCGAGCAGCTGCAGAGGGAGAGAAGAAAAGTGCTCCAGGACAACAACATGATGCACCAGCCACGATTCTTCAAGTACGACTGCGGGATTTACACATAAATGGGCTTCGGAAGTTTGCGAACTCCATAAATGCAAAAGAGAATCAGATGTGTGTGACTGCAAACCTCCGTTCAAACTGTTTCTCTTCCCAACGGAATTGAAAAATAGTGAAAGGTGAAGGTGACGGGCAGGATTGATCCACAGGAAGAACCAAAAAGGAAACATTTGACTGACTAAATCATCCCGAGTTTGCAGAGAACATTTTGTATGTGGAGCAACAACAAAACAAAATCCTGATTCCTCGTTCAACCTCGGTTACGAATTTAAAAAGTCAACGCCAAAGCGAAAGGCTCCAACTGTTCACCAAGAAACACCTTCCACTGCAAAGAGACCAAGACGTGATGTTGCTGTAAAACCACAAGAACAAGAAAGTGCAGCTCAGTCTGTTTGTCTTCTGCTCCTCTACATTAACAAACGGGATTTTGTTTTGTTGTCGCTCCACATATAAAATGTTCGATGCAAACTCGGGATGATTTCTTAGGCAGTCAGAGTTTTCCTTTTTGGATCAATCCTGCCCATCACCTTCACCTTTCACTATTTTTCAATTCCGTTGGGAAGAGAAACAGTTTGAACAGAGGTTTGAGTCACACACATCTGATTGTCTTTTGCAGTTATGAAGTTCGCAAACGTTCGAAGCCCTTTTTCCGCTGTTAGGATCCAACAACCACACAGTTACGATGTCCGAATCCCAAAACTAAAATATAAAACTATCAGAACCAGAAACAAAAGTGATCCGTCCCAGTTTGCACTGTGTGATGACTGGAAGTCCAAAATTTGAGATGCATGTATAAACCAAACCTAAAACACAATAATGTTCTTCTGTGTTCGCAGGAAAAGCAGGAATGACACTTGGATTAGCAACAACTCGTACTGGGAGCAGAGGAGAGATCCCGGCTTCAGTAAGATAGACTTCCCCGTGCTTTGGTGACCCCTGGAGAACCTCTGAGGAACCTCCAAGGAACATCTGAGGAACCTCTGAGGAACCTCTGGAGAAGCTCTGGAGAACCTCTAGAGACCCTCTGAGGAACCTTTGAGGAACCTCTAGAGACCCTCTGAGGAACCTCTGGAGAATGTCTAGAGACCCTTTGAGGAACCTCCAAGGAACCTCTGGAGAACCTCTAGAGACCCTCTGAGGAACCTCTAGAGACTCTTTGAGGAACCTCTGAGGAACCTCTAGAGACCCTTTGAGGAACCTCTGAGGAACCTCTGGAGAACCTCTAGAGACCCTCTGAGGAACCTCTAGAGACCCTTTGAGGAACCTCTGGAGAACCTCTAGAGACCCTCTGAGGAACCTCTGAGGAACCTCTAGAGACCCTTTGAGGAACTTTTGAGGAACCTCTAGAGATCCTCTGAGGAACCTCTGGAGAATGTCTAGAGATCCTTTGAGGAACCTCTGAGGAACCTCTAGAGACCCTTTGAGGAACCTCCGAAGAACCTCTAGAGACCCTTTGAGGAACCTCTGAGGAACCTCTAGAGACCCTTTGAGGAACCTCTGAGGAACCTCTAGAGACCCTTTGAGGAACCTCTGGAGAACCCTTTGAGGAACCTCTGAGGAACCTCTAGAGACCCTTTGAGGAACCTCTAAGGAAACTCTGAGGAACCTCAGGAGAACCTCTAGAGACCCTCTGAGGAACCTCTGAGGAACCTCTAGAGACCCTTTGAGGAACCTCTGAGGAGCCTCTGGAGTTCTGGACCTAATCTTAATCTACAAAACTGGACTTCTTTGGACTGGTGTAGACGAGAGCCTGAGAACATGTTTCCTCTGGAGCGGTACATTTGTTTGTCTTCTTCACTTAAAGGTCACATATTATGCACAACTTTTTGGACCTTATCACCATGTTCTAATGTTCAGATGTTCTAATGTTCAAATGTTCATCAAAAACACACCTGGAGTTGTGTTTTGCTTCATTCACTCTTGTTCCATTGATCCATTAATCCAAACTCTTCTTCTCAAGCACAAACTGTTCACATTTTGTCCAGATTGTTACGTCACAGGTAAAAATCTTAACAGTTTTTTAAAGTTCTGTACCTGAGTTTTACTCATCTTAAAAACTTTTAAAATCAGAACTGTTCTAATTTAAACGGTTCGCAGTGGTCCACAGTTATTCCCCGCTTGACCAGTGATGGTAAAGCGAAAACAACTAGCAATCTAATGTGCAATTCCTGATTCTCAGACTGTAAAAAGCACTTAAAAATTATTAAACGCAAACGGTTCACAGTGGATTTATTTTGACTTAAAGAGCTGCTGGATGATGGAGATGTTATTGTTTTGGTTTTTTTGTCTGGAATGTTTCCCAGTGCGGCATTAAACCTTTCTATCGTCATGGAAACCAAACTGGACCAAGTTACAGGTCAGATCTGTGGCAAAAAAAAAGCCAGAACGCCCATTTTTCTTGGCATTTTTGAGCTATAAAAGTAAAAAAAAAAGCTTAAAATAAAGTAAAATAGAGCTGTTTAATGTCACACTGTGGAACATTCCAGGCACAGAAACGGCGTATCCATGGAAACAAAAACGTGACGGGAAAGTTATGCAATGCAGCTTTAACTTAGACAATGTTAAGTACCAAAAAAAAAAAGACCAAAAATGTGTTTAAAAGGGAATTTAAGTCACAAAAATGCATAATATGTGTCCTCCTCAAAGCCCGTTTCCGAGCTTTTCCAAAGTGCCTTTTTTCCGCGGCCGTCGCAGGTTCACGGCGCCGACGATGTCTCAGTATCATATCCTGGAGATGTGGGTATTACAAATATTTGGGTATTTGTTCTTTTCAAATACTGTAGTTCTGAAGCTGCAGAGTTTTCTGTATTTACTGCCTCTGTAATCCTGGGTTTAAAGGAACTTATCTGAAAAACAACAGAATAAATGTTTATGGACCAGGAGGTTCTGTCTCTGCTTCATTTTTACTAAAGAAAAGAGGACGAAAACAGGACTAAACCAAGGACTAAAACAGGACTACAGCAGGTCTAAACCAGGACTAAAACAGGACTTCAGCAGGTCTAAACCAGGACTAAAACAAGACTAAACTAAACTAAAACAGGACTAAACCAGGATGTTCTGTCTCTGCTTCATTTTTACTAAAGAAAAGAGGACGAAAACAGGACTAAAACAGGTCTACACCAGGACTAAAACAAGACTAAACTGAAACTAAACCAGGACTACATCAGGTCTAAACCAGGACTACATCAGGACTAAACCAGGACTAAAATGGGACTAAACCAGGACTACATCAGGACTAAAACAGGACTAAACCAGGTCTAAACCAGGTCTAAACCAGGACTAAACCAGGACTACATCAGGTCTAAACCAGGACTAAAACAGGACTAAACCAAGACTAAACCAGGACTAAAACAGGACTAAACCAGGACTACATCAGGTCTAAACCAGGACTAAAACAGTACTAAACCAGGACTACATCAGGACTAAAACAGGACTAAACCAGGTCTAAACCAGGACTACATCAGGTCTAAACCAGGACTAAACCAGGACTAAAACAGGACTAAACCAAGACTAAACCAGGACTAAAACAGGACTACATCAGGTCTAAACCAGGACTAAAACGGGACTAAACCAGGACTACATCAGGACTAAACCAGGTCTAAACCAGGTCTAAACCAGGACTAAAACAGGACTAAACCAGGACTACATCAGGACTAAACCAGGACTAAACCAGGACTAAAACAGGACTAAAACCAGGACTAAACCAGGACTAAAACAGGACTAAAACAGGACTAAACCAGGACTACATCAGGACTACATCAGGACTACATCAGGACTAAACCAGGACTACATCAGGTCTAAACCAGGACTAAAACGGGACTAAAACGGGACTAAACCAGGTCTAAACCAGGACTAAAACAGGACTAAAACAGGACTAAACCAGGACTAAACCAGGACTAAAACAGGACTAAACCAGGACTACATCAGGACTAAACCAGGACTAAACCAGGACTAAAACAGGACTAAACCAAGACTAAACCAGGACTAAAACAGGACTAAACCAGGACTACATCAGGTCTAAACCAGGACTAAAACGGGACTAAACCAGGACTACATCAGGACTAAAACAGGACTAAACCAGGTCTAAACCAGGACTAAACCAGGACTAAAACAGGACTAAACCAGGACTACATCAGGTCTAAACCAGGACTAAAACGGGACTAAACCAGGACTAAACCAGGACTAAACCAGGTCTAAAACAGGACTAAACCAGGACTAAAACAGGACTACATCAGGTCTAAACCAGGACTAAACCAGGACTACATCAGGACTACATCAGGACTAAACCAGGACTACATCAGGACTAAACCAGGACTAAAACAGGACTAAACCAGGACTACATCAGGACTAAAACCAGGACTAAACCAGGACTAAAACAGGACTAAACCAGGACTACATCAGGTCTAAACCAGGACTACATCAGGACTAAACCAGGACTACATCAGGTCTAAACCAGGACTTAACCAGGACTACATCAGGTCTAAACCAGGACTTAACCAGGACTACATCAGGTCTAACCAGGACTACATCAGGTCTAAACCAGGACTTAACCAGGACTACATGAGGTCTAAACCAGGACTAAATCAGGTCTAAACCAGGACTAAAACGGGATTAACCAGGACTAAACCAGGACTAAAACAGGACTAAACCAGGTCTAAACCAGGACTAAAACAGGATTTTTTTTGGTTGATTTTTTTATTTTAATTTTTTTGTGCCAAAATACAGAAAATCGTGTTTGAAAATGACCATAAAACAAAAAATATATATAATAAATAAATAAATAATAATAAATAAATAAAGTCACCCCAGTTGACCCTCACGCCGCAGTTTGGACACACCGGACTTTACTGCACCGTCCCCGGACCAGACCCCAGGACCGGACCCAGGACCGGACCCAGGACCGGACCCGGGACGCAGAGGCGCATGGACCGGACTTTACCCACGTCCACCCCGAGAACCATGGATCATTTTAAGTTTATCCACCTCGTATTTCTCTCCTCGTTCCCCCCTGGATCCTGTCCTCCCTCCCGTGATGCACTGCGCCGCGTGTGGAGCCTCTAACGCGGGGAAGCAGCGCGCCATGGCCCCCGTCTGAGCCCCGGCGCGTGTGGGGGTGAGTACGAACATGTTTTACGCAATTAAATGCCAAAAATGACGTTTGATTTAGCGATTTTAGTCGGTTTTTATGGTTTTAACGTAGAAAAAGTTGTGTTTGCCTCAATGAAAAGCAACCAAATTTGACTTGATTTAAATTTTATTCATATATCAGCAATTTATCTAAGTTATCTGTCTGTCAGTAATAAAAAAAGTGTATATTTTATAGGTTTATAGTTCATAATTTTACTGATACAGGTCGAATATTGGTTTGATACGGGCCTTTCTTTCAGTTCTGGTTGTAGTTTTTTTTCGTCTTTACTCTTGTTAAAATCATTTGAAAGTTTTTAAATATTTCTCATTATTCTGTGTGATGAAAAACAGGCTGTACTTTAATATTTTTACGTGAATTTCCAGGTGTAAAATCTGCATTGGAGCTGAGTAATGCTTGTAGTAACAGGCAGTGGGCAGCAGAGGGCGCACTCCACCTGAGAAACATGATTTCAATTTCGGAAAAACAGCTCTAATGTTTCAATAATTAAAATGAATTTGGTTTTGCTTCATAAATCTGTGTCAAAGGTCAGTGTACGATTCGTTCTTTGAATTTCAATTAAGAACGAAAAACAATAAAATGGGAAAACAGTTTGTTATTTAATTATTTCACTTCACTAGTGTCAAACTAAAACAGATTTCGACCTCTATTTCCAGTATTTAAATTACAGTTTATTTCATATAGCACCAATCAAAAAACAGTCTCATGCGATCAGTTCTGCACAACAAAACCAGAACTCAACCAGGACTAAACCAGGTCTAAAAACAGCTCTAAAACCAGGACTAAAACAGGATTTAGCCCAGACTTAAAGGTTGTATAGAGGATTTTTTAAAGGGAAGACAAATACAGCGACAGTCCTTTTTCAAATGTTGTGCCTGCGTGACACCACCTTCCTCAGTAGAAACACCTCCTCCCGCCTCTTTACTCTAGAAATCACGTTTGTTTACAGCCGGTGCACGTTCAGAATCACTGTTGAAGTGACCCGTCTAGAAATAATTTAGCGACCGACGTGTCACTTTTTAGACCCTTCGTCTGCTTCATTCATGCAGTCGCTGGAAGAAATCTCCAAGAATCACATGTTTGGTTTTGCTCCTTTTCTCCTTCTCTTCTTCTTTCAGCGACCTCAAAAACGGACTTTCTTTTGCGGCGAACGGGTCGTGGATTCTCGTCCGCCGTCGCGACAAATTTTGTGTGAACTGCGAGGAAACTACAGTTTAAAAAACCTCTAAGAACCGCTGCATAAACCACATAATCCCCGCGCGCCGGCGAGTCAGTTACACTAGAAACGTAGGGAGTTTGATTGACAACCGAACAGCCAATAGAAAATGAGGGAGCCTTGTTTTCTATTGGCTGATGTTTATCTGCCCTC